ACGGCGTGGTGTGGCTCCTCCTGACGCGTATCGTGCTCCAGCACGTCTTCAGAGGAGGGTCGCCAAAAAGTTTTAAAACATTCATCTAATTTCTAATTAGTTGCATTTGTAAATTTCAAAAGCCAATATAAAGGAACAGTAGTAGTAGAAAAAGTACTTGTGGGTTTAACCGACCATTTTAATTCTTCTGTAAGGGGGCGTAGAAGGGGGTGTGTCTTATGAAAACATACTTTTGTTTATACATGCCCCACATTCCCATTTCAGAAAGTTGGGAGGTATGTGTTTGATTGGCAAAACCGGCCTTACAGTTCTACTGCGTCCTCTGCAGATTAATGCAGTTACATTGCCGCTAGTGCAGATGTGGCCTACACCTTTTTTTTTTTTTTTTTCCCACGAGTGAACTGCTGGGTGTCAAAGGGCTCTATATTTAGTTTACAGATTTCTCTTCCCAACAAATAATGTGACAAAGAAATAAAGGAAAGCATTGCGTTAATGGAACATGCCCTGACCAGCCGCATGTGCAATTACGGCAATGATGGATGGGTAAGGTCTTCACAACGCAGCAGTATTTTCGGAACACACAGACAAACGGTGATACATGAGGGTGACCCAGTGTGAGCGGGGGAAACACTTGCAGAAGATAAAGTTGCCACACCATGACTTCTCATTGGTTGAACTCAACAGAAGGAGCTAGACAGGAAATGTATGTTCTTCTGGTTTCCTGTTCAGCCCGGATCTCTTAACAGTCAAACAATGACCGAGCAAAACGAGTCGTACTACTTCATTCCTTCCACTTCCTCCAGTGTGTAAATCTAGAAGTTCCCTCATCAGAACTGAATTCTTTGCCTTGGCTTCTCTAAATAATTGGTGGGAGGTGGTGGTGGGGGATTCTAGTCAACTACCCAATGTCCTGTTCATATGGGACAGCTGTGTGACATTGGGTGTTGTTTTGCTCTGCATTTAAATACACCCCCCAGGTGAGATGTAAAGTTGGCTTACAGAATTTTGAGTGGTCAGATGTTTCCGGTTGCCTTCAGGGCAGCTCAACGTGAGGCCAACCTCTTCATGGGTGTTGGAGCCACAGAGAGCAATGATTGGAAAAAGTGCATGGATTCGAAAAGTTTACAAGTTTCGAAAATTGCAACTTTTAATGGGAACTGAAATAAAGTCAATGCATGCAAATGAGTAGGGCTTGTTGGTTGATCAGATGTTAGTGCCTGCTGGCATCCAAGCAACCAATGCCATATCCACAGTCAAACAATGACCGAGCAAAATGAGTTGTACCACTTCATTCCTTCCGCTTCCTCCAGTGTGTAAATCTAGAAGTTCCCTCATCAGAACTGAATTCTTTGCCTTGGCTTCTCTAAATAATTGGTGGGAGGTGTCGGTGGGGGATTCTAGTTGTCTACCCAATGTCCTGTTCAGGAGCTCCAAATGGCACAGTACTATGCAGCCGCTGGCCATGACCATCTTTGTATACATCCAGATCTTGGCCAGAAAATCTCCCGGGTGGCAATAAAATAAGTCCAGGGATACATCATTGGTTGTTAGGATGCCATAAACTCCTGGGGTCCTAGCAACCAATAGCACGTTTCCAGCACATTTTGGCTGCCAGCCATGGCCATATTTAGTCAAAAACATCAGCCAGAATCCCTAGACTGTTTAATAAAGTGAATGCATGCAAATGAGTAGGGCTTGTTGGATGCTCAGATGTTAGTGCCTCCTGGCATCCAAGCAACCAATGACATATCCACAATACTATGCAGCTGCTAACCATCACCATCTTTGTTTACATCCAGATCTTGGCCCGAAAATCTCCCGGGTGGCAATTGAATAAATCCAGGGATGCTTCATTGGTTGTTAGGATGCCATGAACTGCTGGGGTCCTAACAACCAATAGCATGTTCCCATCCCAGTTTGGCTGCTAGCCATGGCCATATTTAGTCAAAAACATCAGCCAGAATCCCTAGACCCTTTGTTTACATTGGGTTCTAAGCTGGGGAGGTTTCCAGGCAGAATGAATCCAGGGATGAGTCATTGGTTGTTAGGATGTGGGTGAGTGCTGGGGTCCTAGCAACCAATAGCACATCCCAGCTCCAATCAGCTGCTGATCATGGCCATATTTAGCCAATGAGATCAGTTGTATCCTCAGCCTCTTTGTTTACACACAGCCCTTAGCTGCAGATTCTTGCCGGCTGCAGTTGAATAAGGCCGGGGATGTATCATTAGTTGCTAGTATGCAGATGACCTCTGGGGTCCTAGAAACCAATACCACATCACCAGCCCAAATCAGCTGCTGGCCTTGGCCATATTTAGTCAATGACATCAGGCAGAATCCCTAGACCCTTTGTTTACATTGGGTTCTCAGCTGGGGAGGTTTCCAGGCAGAATGAATCCAGGGATGAGTCATTGGTTGTTAGGATGTGGGTGAGTGCTGGGGTCCTAGCAACCAATAGCACATTACCAGCCCAAATCAGCTGCTGGCCTTGGCCATATTTAGTCAATGACATCAGGCGGAATCCCTGGCCCCTTTGTTTACATTCAGCTGTCAGCCTGGGAACATTCTCGGCCACTGCTGAAAGGGGCTAGGGATATGTCACTATTCGTGGCCAAGGCTGTCAGTCACTGGGCCCCAGCTGGTAATTGCTCGCCAGCGCCTGGTGATTTCCGAGGATCTCCGATGGCGAGGAGGACTGTTTTGTTTACTAACAGTTCTCCTCCCTGCCAGCTCAGGCACACTGCTCTGCATGGCTGTGCATAGCACAACCATCCACAGCAGTGTGACTACAGTGAAGAACACAAACACCACCCCCTAGTAAAACACTCCCAGCACACAGTTAACCCTTTGCTCGCCCCACATGTTAACCGCTTCCTGCCCAGTGCCATTAGCACAGTGTCAGTGCTTTTTATTAACACTGATCACTGTATTGATGTCACTGTGGAGGTCAGTGACACCAAGTCAATTCCCCCCCAGTGTCAGAATGTTTGCCACAGTCCCGCTATAAGTTGCTGATCACCGCCATTACTAGTAAAAATGAAAAAAAAAAAAACCAATACATATACCACCATTTTGTAAACGCTATAACTTTCACACAAACCAATTCATTTACAGGTATTGGGATTTTGTTTAGCGAAGACATGGAGCAGAATACACTTTGGCCTAAATTTATGATGAAATTTTATTTTTACATTTTTTTTTTTTTTACTGGACATGTTTATTAGCAAAAAAGCAAAATTTTTTATTTTTTTTGTTAAAATTGGCGGCTTTTTAATTTTTTTTTTTATTTTATAGCACAAAAAATAAAAAAACGCACAAGCAATCAAATACCACTGAAAGAAAGCTCAATTTGTTGGAAAAAAAAGGATGTGAATTTTATTTGGGTGCAGCATTGCATGACTGCGCAATTGTCCATTAAAGTAATGCAGCGCCGTGACACAAAAAATGGCCTGGTCAGGAAAGGGGGGTAAATCCTCTGGGGGAGGGGGGCATCAAGTGGTTAATTCCACTTTGTGCCTGGGTTTCACACATATGCAATGCGGTATATCGCATGTGATTCGCACAGGAACCGCACCGCATTCCTATGCTAATCGTACCGCACCCAAAAATGTGCAGGACCCTTTTTTTGGACCAGACTAGAATCGGATCGCATGGATATTCACACCCATGCGATCCGATTCTGCACATCGCACTGTGTTTTGCGGACCGATTTTGGGGCTTTAACATACACACCCGCAGCGGTTCGCATGAACGGGGTGCGATTTTGATGTGGTGCGGAATCCTCACCACATCAGTGTGAACCCCGGGCTTAGAGTTTCAAGTACAATGACAATGTCATGAACAGCAACCCTACAAATGCAAAAAGAAGGATCTCTGTGTTTCTATTTCACTCCGGATCCCTCCAGGACACAGAGAGATTAGTGGCCCTCTGTGGCCCTCTGTGGCCGTACTGTATGTGTATACATGTCCCTGGAAATGACCTCCATGGTCTCAGCTCTGGTTTTCTGGCTCGATGAACGTTCCTCGTTGTATGCCGCCGTCATTGGAGGCTTTTCCTTTCACTGTTTACTAAACCGATAATGATTTGGCTGCACTCTGTACTCTCTGAGTCATCGTCTCTATTAGTCATGACTTGTATGCGATTCCTCCAATGAGGGAAAGAGAAGAATACAGCAGAGAACATACTGTACCATTTATAGGAAGAACCACAAATAAACCGTGCAACCTCTGCAGGCGGCCCCACCAAAATATTATTCCTTTCTCCGTTCTAAGGGTTCTGATTTCAAATGCTACTTAATGCTTTGATATACCTCTTTAGGCCCAGTCTGTCCAGACAGTAGGGTCACCTGCTCACCTGTCACCATCCACAGGCAGCTTAACTCTTCAATAAGACACAGAAACTAAATCCAATGCAATTTTACTTCAGTTTATTGCAGTATGGAGGATGGCTTTCTGGTCTCCTGAAGAGTAAGAAGTAGAAGAAGATCAGGGATGTCAATTGTCATTCAAAGTGCGAGAGCGCTGAAAGCTGAAAATTGGCCTAGGCAGGAAGGGGGTATAAGTGCCCTGTAGGCAAGTGGTTAAGGGGGCACATACTGTGGAAAGGGGCACTCTGATGGGTACATTTTATGTAAAAGGACGCTCTGGGCACATTTTATGTTAAAGGGGCACTCTAATGAACATATGTTATGTTAAGGGGCACAAATGGGCTCATACTGTAGAAAGGGACACTCTGATGTGCACATGTGATGGAAAGGGGCACTCTGATGGGGAAATGTGACAGAAAGGGGTATTAGAGTGTAAGGGGGCACTCTGATGGGAATACCTGATGTAAAGGGGCACTCTGATGGGGATACCTGATGTAAGATCTGGGGGATACATGTATGTGATGGGGATACCTGATGTAAAGGGGGCACTCTGATGGGGGGCACTCTGATACCTGATGTAAAGGGGCACTCTGATGGGGATACCTGATGTAAGATGGCAATGTGATGGGGATACCTGATGTAAAGGGGCACTCTGATGGGGATACCTGATGTAAAATGGGGCACTCTGATGGGGATACCTGATGTAAGGGGCACTCTGATGGGGATACATGTAAGATGTGTGATGGGGATACCTGATGTAAAGGGGCACTCTGATGGGGATACCTGATGTAAGATGGCAATGTGATGGGTATACCTGATGTAAAGGGGCACTGATGATGGGTGATGGGGATACCTGATGTAAAGGGGCACTCTGATGGGGATACCTGATGTAAGATGGCAATGTGATGGGGATACCTGATGTAAAGGGGCACTCTGATGGGGATACCTGATGTAAGGTGGCAATGTGATGGGGATACCTAATGTAAAGGGCACACTCTGATGGGGATACCTGATGTAAGGTGGCAATGTGATGGGGATACCTGATGTAAAGGGGCACTCTGATGGGGATACCTGAGTAAGGTGGCAATGTGATGGGGATACCTGATGTAAAGGGGCACTCTGATGGGGATACCTGATGTAAGATGGCAATGTGATGGGGATACCTGATGTAAAGGGGCACTCTGATGGGGATACCTGATGTAAGGTGGCAATGTGATGGGGGGATACCTAATGTAAAGGGGCACTCTGATGGGGATACCTGATGGGGCACTCTGATAACCTGAGGGGCACTCTAATGGGGATACCTGATGTAAGGTGGCAATGTGATGGGGATACCTGATGTAAAGGGGCACTCTGATGGGGATACCTGATGTAAGATGGCATACCTGAGGTGTAAGGTCTGGCAATGCGTGATGGGGATACCTGATGTAAAGGGGCACGCTGATGGCCATACCTGATGTAAGGTGGCAATGTGATGGGGATACCTGATGTAAAGGGGCACTCTGATGGGGATACCTAATGTATGGGGACACTCTGATGGGGACATGTAAGGTGGCAATGATGTAAAATGGGGCACTCTGATGGGGATACCTGATGTGATGTGATGGGGAGATGTAAAGGGGCATGATGGGCAACCTGGTTGCACTCTGATGGCGACATCTAATGTGTAAAGGGGCACTCTGATGGGCACACGTGATGTGATGGGATACACACTCTGATGGCCTCTAATGTCAGGGGGCACGCTGATGTGTAAATTGTCTCCTTGATGGGGGAACCTTCTATAATGGGGCACTCTAATGGGGACAACTGATGTAAGCTGATGGACACACCCTATTCGGACCTCGCCCAGAAGAACATTTTAGTGACCTCCTTGAATTTGAATTCAATACCCCTGCTCTAGGGGGTCTGCTTTAAAAATATATAATGTTTTGGAGGTTCCAAGTATATTTCTAGCAAAAAAAGACAAAACTGATTTTTTAAAATGTAAAAAAAGTGTCAGAAGCTGTAGCGATACAAAGTAACACTTTAACATGCATACGCCACATTTTACGTTCTCCTAGTAAGTCTGAGCTGTGCAGCGCGGAGCGTGTAGCGAGGTTGTGAAATAGAGATGTGACAGATGAGGTAATGCTCTATAAATAGGGAATTTTTTCTTTTTCTCTGGGAACTGCATGGCTTGTTTTCATAGGAATCACACAGCAGAATTGATTCGCATGTCCTTACATAGACATCATCAGGGGTGGACTGACAACTCATGGGGCCCCCGGGCAATAGGGGATCATGGGGCCCCTGTATCCTTGCCCAAACTCAAAAAAGCCTATGAAAAAGGTACCAGGGGCATCTCATGGGGCCCCCTACTGACCCCGGGCCCTCGGGCAGTGCCCGAGTTTCCAAATGGTCAATCCGCCCCTGGCCTCCGGGCAATAGGGGATCATGGGGCCCCTGTGTCCTTGCCCAAACTCAAAAAAGCCTATGAAAAAGGTACCAGGGGCATCTCATGGGGCCCCTACTGACCCCGGGCCCTCGGGCAGTGCCCGAGTTTCCAAATGGTCAGTCCACCCCTGGACATCATGGACCACACTGCCTAATTCCTTCTTTTATTTTAACATTGTTATGGAGGAAAGAGAGAGCCTATCCTTCAAGAATGATCGCCCCTACATGTGGCGTCCGTAACCATGGTTGCAGAGGGCACTCACCCCCCCCATATAGGTGCTAAACTGGCCCTTGCAGAGCTTCCTGTTTAACCACTTCATGTCTGGACACTCTCACCCCCTTCCAGTTTAGGCCAATGTTCAGCTTTCAGTGCTATCACACTTTGAATGACAATTGCGCGGTCATGCAACACTGTGCCCAAAGGGAATTTTTTTTTTTTTTTATATTCAATGGTTTTTATTAATTTTAAACAATATAAAACAGAGGCAACAAAACATGCCCACACAGGGGCTATCAATTGCACTGGTAACAGGGAATTTTTAGCATTTTTTTTTTTTTGGTGGTATTTATTCATCACTGGGATTTTTCTTTTTTTGCTATGTAAATGAGAAAAAAACAAAAATATTGAGAAAAAAGTGTTTTTCTTATACAAATTTTCAAATAAATAATCTTTCTTCAGAAATCTTGGCCAAAATGTATCTTATTGCTAGAAAAATAAAATAACCCAAATTAATTTATTAAAAAAATATATAATTTTTGAAAAAAATGTTTTTGTTTTTTTTTTTAATATTTATTTTTTGCATACTGTCACCCTAGCAGTACAGTGTCACCATAGTGACACTGTATTACTTGTGGGGGGGTGATGAAGATTTATTTTTTCCTTTTTTACACTGATTGCGTTTACACCCATAAAGGCTGTAAAATCAATAATTTCTTTTGCTCTCTGGCTGCATTCCTGCAACCATTGAGAAATACTGTGTGAGCTGTAATTGGTCACAGCTTGTCACATGGTACAAGGCTGCTGTGAATGGCCCTGTACCATGCGACCTCTGTGATCAGTAGGAGTAAACAATGATTTCAGGAAGTGACATCTTGTTTATGTGTTCATGTGATCACTGATTGGCCCATCAGTGATCACATGAATCTGGAGCTCACACAGTGGTCCCGTATAGCGATCTGTGGACTCAGCGGGCACAGATCACAGCGGCGTGCACTCCAAGCGTGCACAGGCAATGGATGTTGGGGGATGTTTAGAAACGTCCCCCCACATCAGCAGCGCTCCCATCCGGCTGTTTATCAGCATGCGCCAGATGAGAAGAGGTTGGTGATTGGAAAGAGATTGATGATTGGTCAGGAAGTTTCATCTTGAAGTCTGTTTCCTTAAAGGGAGTTTTTCCTAGAGATTTGCGAAAATTTGCTTTTTTTGGCGTATCAGCCAGGCTGTGAATAAGGGGGTACCACCAGTACTCCTGTACGGGGCCCAGGCCAGCAAGGTGGCCCAGGCAGCTGGGGGAATCAGATTTGAGCAGGGAGGTTGATTGCCACGGCGGGGGGGGGGGGGGGTGAAGGGCAGTTACTGGAAACGATATTTACGTCTTGTGCCCCCCCACACAGTACTACCGGCTTCTCTCCTTTCTACTGGCAGCTGCAAGAACACAATGAAGAGTGGGGGAAGGTCACATTCACCAGCCCTTCTTTTTCCTGAATGAGTACAATGAGTGACAGGTACCAATCACTCACTGTGTTCATTCATAACTGAAGCATACTGTGTTTTATTGAGGGGGGGCTGTCAGGTTGGCTATATGGGGCCCCGTGATTTAATAACAGCAGCCCTACGTACCAATGAACTGGAGGATCACTTACTGACTGTTCATGCAGAAAGATGGTGACCCCCTGTGTGACATCATCGCTGCCTCAATTCCTAGGTCACATTGGGTGGAGATTCACATCAAGTAAGCCTCGGGGCCTTTAAAGTGGTTGTCAACCTCAGACATGAAATATGAACAAAGCACATCCCGCTATAGTGTGCGTTTGTGTCAATCCAGAGCACTATGTGTCCTGTCATACTGGTGCGATTTGAGAATTGAAATTACATCTAATGAATGTGAATGTCGGTGTCTTAACGTGCGATTTGCTGCAACGCAATTTCTAAAGTAGTTCTTGCATTACTGTTTTGCTGCAATTTCACATACAATACTTTCAGCAATATAGTGTATGTTCAGTCTTCTCTTCATATCACTTGGCATATGGAAACTTGTTTATATACTCTTTTCCTTTCTTCTCTGTCTGTCTGTTTGTTGGTCTATCTATCAGTTGGTTGGTCTATCGGTCGGTCTCGCTGTCGGTCGGTCTGTCTATCGGTCGTTCGGTCTGTCTATCGGTCGTTCGGTCTGTCTATCGGTCATTCGGTCTGTCTATCGGTCATTCGGTCTGTCTATCGATCGTTCGGTCGGTTTATCGGTCGTTCGGTCTATCGGTCTCTATCTGTCTGTCGGTCAGTCGGTCTATCTATCGGTCGATCTATCTGTTGGTAGTCTATGCATCAGTCTATCTATCTATTGGTCTTGCTATCTATCGGTCTGTCGGTCTATCTATCTATCAATCTATCAATCTGTCTATCTATCGGTCTATCTATCTATCTATCTATCTATCTATCTATCTATCTATCTATCTATCTATCTATCGGTCTGTCTGTCTATCTATCTATCGGTCTGTCTATCTATCGGTCTGTCTATCTATCGGTCTGTCTATCTATCGGTCTGTCTATCTATCGGTCTGTCTATCTATCGGTCTGTCTATCTATCTATCTATCTATCTATCTATCTATCTGTCTATCTATCGGTCTATCTATCGGTCTATCTATCGGTCTATCTATCGGTCTATCTATCTATCTATCTATCTATCTATCTATTTTTATCGGTCTATCTATCTATCGGTCGGTTTATCTATCGGTCTATGTATCTGTCTATCTATCTATGTATCGGTCTATCTATTTATCGGTTTGTCTATGTATCGATCTATGTATCCATCGGTCTATTTATCTATCGGGCGGCCTGGTCTATCGGGCGGGTCGGCCTGGTCTATCTGTCGGCCTGGTCTATCGGGCGGCCTGGTCTATCGGGCGGCCTGGTCTATCGGGCGGCCTGGTCTATATCGGTCGGCCTGGTCTATCGGGCGGTCGGTCTATCTATCTGTCGGTCTATCTATCTGTCGGTCTATCTATCTGTCGATCTATCTGTCGGTCTATCTATGTATTGGTCTATATATCGGTCTATCTATTTATCGGTCTGTCTATGTATCCATCGGTCTGTCTGTCGGTCTGTCGGTCGGTCTGTCGGTCTATCGGTCGGTCTGTCGGTCTGTCGGTCTATGTATCTGTCTATCTATCTATCGGTTATGTATCGGATCTATTTATCGGTCTGTCTATGTATCGGTCTATGTATCTATAGGTCTATTTATCTATCGGTCTATTATGTATTGATCTATGTATCGGTCGATCGATCTATCGGTTTTCCTATCTATTGGTCTATGTATCGGTCTATGTATCGGTCTATCTATGTATCGGTCTATGTATCGGTCTATCTATGTATCGGTCTATGTATCGGTCTATCTATGTATCGGTCTATGTATCGGTCTATCTATGTATTGGTCTATGTATCGGTCGATCGATCTATCTGTCTATTGGTCGGTTGGTCAGTCTATCTATTTATCTATCGGTCGATCTATCTTCAATCTATCTTTATTATATATCTAATCTACCCCATTGCATTTTTTTTTGCTCTAAAATGAACTTTAGTGTATTTTTTTCTGGAGCGCTGCCCTTTATAAACCATTGCCCATATATCCTGCAACTTAAAAAGTATTGGAACTCCCACCATTTTATTATGCAGGGTCTCTGCTTTCAAGAAATATAGAATGTTTGGGGGATTTAACGAATCTTCAGGACTTTTTTTTTTTTTAAATGTGTGCAAAAAATGAGAAAACAACTCTGGTATTGAAAGGGATCAAACAGGGAAAATGTGCAATTATTGCAGAAAGGTTATGCATATATAATTTTTTTTTAAATTTTATCCCATCATAAAATTTACCACATTATATGAAACTTGGACCA